AATGCCGCGCTGCCCAATAACATCGTAAGGCTCTCCGAAGCTTGCAAGATAGGACCGGCAGCAGCGCTCTCGATCAAAGTCATGTCATTGGAGAAGCGGTTCACGATCGACCCCAGATTCGTCTTGAAGAAGAACCAGTATGGAGCGTTCATTACGCTGTTCAAGATCCGTTGATGGAGGTGCGCTGATGAGTGAGGTACAGCCCAGACGAGGATGGTCCAGAATTTGGCAAAATCGAACAATAATGCGAGCAGCGCGAACGCAATATGCCAGCCGATCCAGTACCCCAGAGAGTGTCGCGATGCTTCTGCATCAGACCACCACCGAACCCAGATCTCCATAAACTTCCAGAAAAACCCTGCCAATAATGTTGCGGCAAGGAACAGAAGGGATAATCTCAATCCGAATGATCTGAACCAGTACGCGTAGGTCGAGAGCTCTCCGGTCCGGCGTGCAGAGGGAGATTCTAGAGCATCGTCTGACCCCATGACCGAAGTCGCCGGAATCTCGACAGCATCATTCGGCCCTTCGTGCGGATTGCCCGTCTCCTCCTGTCGAAGCTCGATGCTATGGAGGAAACTGTTCCGATTACTTATCAGCTTCTCGAATGACCCTTGTTCAACGATTCTGCCTTCGCTTCCCAGGACGACTATTCGATCAGCCTGCTGGACAAAATACGTGGCGGTATGAGTGGTCATGAGGACTGTGAGACCATGCCGCTTGGCTACGCCAGAGGAGCCGAAGACAGATCCAGCAATATGTTTGAGGGAGGTAATGTCCAGGCCACTGAAAATGTCGTCTAGCACCAAGACACGGATCCGCGAATAGAGCGCTCTTGCGAGGGCAAGACGTTGCTTCTGCCCGCCACTCAGCGACATGCCTTTATTACCTACCGCTGTCTGCTCTCCGGCCGGAAATCGGGCAATGTCGGTCGACAACGCGCATGCGCTCACAATCGTGCTGTACCAAATCGGGTCATAGTCGGACTCTCCAATGATGATGTTCCGGATCGAATCGTTGGGCAGCCAGGGTTCTTGAGAGCAGAATGCGAATGAGTGGAAGTCCCTCGAGACGGTACGACTGCCAGAACTCAGCCTCACGTCGCCGACGATAGCGCGAAGTAGTGTCGACTTCCCGTTTCCAACCGGTCCAAGTACGAGGGTGAAGGATCCTTCTTGCAGATCCAGGGAGATGTCCTGGAGGATGGGGCGTTGAGGATTGCTACCAGCGTATACTTTCGCATCGGTCAGACTGACGCCATTTGGAACCCTTGCCGTCATCTCAATGGGTGTGGAAGTACTGTTCAGATCTAAAGAGGGCTCAGCGTTATCGTCATTGTCGCTAAGAAGGAAGGACTGAATGCGCAAAAGGCTCGTGTGAGCCAGCTGGAGGTCAATGATGGCCCAGACCACCTCTTGTATTGGCGCGGACAGAAGCGAGACCAACGACAAAGTACTGAACGCCACACTTGGGGTGAGCTTGTCGCCGCCGTTGATCAGTGTGAACAGCATTAGAGTAAGAGTTGGCCCCAAGGCATTGGGCACTGAAGCGAGTGTTTCCCTGACTGCGACGAACTTCCGGTACACGGCATAGTCAGCAAGCTCCTTGACTCTCAGTGCTTGAATCCGTTTAGACAGAAACTCGGTCAACCCCAGCATCTTGAAGCCCTTGGAGCAACCGAGTACAGCAGTTGTGTATGCAACACGTCGTTGAATGGCATCGAGCCAGATCCTCTGGATCGGCAGACCTCGCTTACTATTGAGGGCACTGATGATGGGCACTGCCATTCCCACTGCAATTGGGGCAATGCAAGAAACACCACTTTGACGAGCTAGCAATGCCGCGACACCAATAATCTCGAACGGGGCAGCAAACATCTCTCCGACTCGCTGCAAGCTCATGCCAATGCGCAACACGTCGGTGCTTACTAGTGTGAGCATGTCCCCATCAGAAAGCTGGGTGTTGGAACGGGCCAAGCTCTGCGAATGCAATGCGGAGATGAAAATTCCGCGCAGCGTAGTGAGAAATCGGTCAGCCTGCCTTCTGTACGTCACCGTCAAGAGGGCCATGACCAGGTAGATTAGCATCGTCGCCGCGATCAAGCCTTTTCCGGTAGTATGGTCTCGCGAGGCATCACTAAGCCATCGTGTTATTCTGTCAATCAAAAGAGGCTGGGTGAGCTTCACAGCGCTGAGACAGAGACGCGGTAGTATTGTCGCAAGCAGGCTCCATTTAGTTGTCGAGATCATTGCTCGCAGTAAGGGACGCTTTCTGGTGTGGTATCGGCCTATTCGTTTTGTCAGAAGCAGGCTAAAAAGATTTGAAATTATGACTTACGGAAGCGTGACCAGTACTGCATGAACCGCTCTTCTACTGATTCAGACAATAGGCTGTCATCGATACCGTACAAATCCTCGAACTTGATGTTCTTTCGATACGCGAGGAGAAAGAGCGGGCCAAGCCACCACAGTACAGTTCGATCGAAGATGTTTGCGAGTGCCTCCGGCGCGTAGGCTTGATACGGCGGAAGTAGCCATGGTCTCTTGGATCGTGCTTCGAGAAAGAGTATGACAATCTTGATGGCTAGGCAAGCAGTAAAAGTGGTCGCGACAGCGGTGTCTGAGCGATGACGCAGCCATAAGGTACGAGCCTGTGGAATGTCCAGGATAATCGAGATGAGGATGAAGACGCTGATGATGTCGCTGGGCCTCGCTGAGCGCATGTGCTCAACGGAAGACAACCAAAGCAGACCCAAGCAAGCGAGGAAAGACAAGCTTGCCGCTGCCACAGCGGTTTGGCTAGTATTCTTTGCAAGCGCCCAGGATAATAGTAAAGCGCATTGGCTCAGTGCCAAGAACGATATGATGGCTTGCTTGCTGCGGCGAGCCCATGATCTTGCACATTTCGTTTCTTGCCGTCGCAATTGAGAGGCGCGGATTGGGAGAACGAGGAGTAGTAAAGCACATGGCGCAATCTGGAAAAGACTTTGTTCGAAGACTAGTGTGAAGTCGAAGTCGTCGCAATACTGAGGGCCGAAGCTATCGTCAGAGACGAGAGAGCAATTCATGATGAATTTCACGTACTCTGCAATGACCATGCAAAGATGACAATGAGAGATCGCACGCGATAGTCTGTGGAGCAAAACAGCACGTAGAATTCACGCGTTAAACTAATTAGAGACAATGGTAAAGCAACGCCGCAACAGCTGCGCGCTATCGCATAAGCGAAATCCTACACTAGCTAGAAACGATTGATATAGATAAGAGAAGAGTAAGATGCTTTGATTGTCAAGTCCTAGGCTGCCATCTTAAGGCGGGCGGGCTTACCAACGGAGATAAACACCGGCTCATCACTATTGTGGCTCAATGGCGATTCGTCTCTAGTCTTCCATATCAACATATCTGGTGATCTGATCTAATTGCGCATCCAGTATCGTATGGTACTGCTTGACATTAATTTTTGCATGTGTCTCTTCTAGTGGTAGTTCCAAGATCTTACAGGAACGAGTAGTACACCACTATCTTGCAAAGACTCAGTTATGTCGCGTTCTATGAGTGTATGCTAACTGGTCTTGGAGCCATGTTGTACATTGCGCGCATCAGCTCAGTCGTATTGGTGATACGGGCAGGAGTGACGACATGGCTGTCACAGGACGGCTGCCTAATCCCAACCTCGTGGTGCGGGGTAGGCTACGCAGGCAACCGCCGTTAGAGACAGTCTCTTCCTTTATGCAAAAAACGACACACCTAAGTTGGTGATTAGGAGACAGAACTAGGAATACCAGATCATTTCATCCACTTGGCCATATCCCACAACTACTGAGTGCTGATTCCGGTAGCCATCGTATCGTCTACTGAGATGCGCGCCCGGTAGCCACTCCCCCACAACGGTAGCTTTATTGAGTCGCATCCTTTTGGCATGGATGTGTCTTAGCTAAATTTTAATTTGCTCGGTTGTCAACACGTGCTACACGCATATGGAGGTCAGCACAAGCATGTTTTTACTTGCAACTTACTATAGTCTACCAACGTCAGAATATCTGCTCTTTGTTGAACATCAATATCAGATGCTGCGGTTTATTCGTCTCGTCTCACCAAGCTGGCAATCTACAGCTTCTCAAAAGCTAACTACCTTCATGTAGATCAAGCAACATGAAATCGGTACCGCATTCTTCGTCATCTCCGCCGACCAATGACCAATCCATCTGCGCTGATTGCCAGGAGATTCTTATACAGCCGGATGAGGCTGCGGCTGATAATTGTCGAGTCACGCGCGAGGGGCGTACTATCGTTTTGTCGGCAGAACGCGGCTGTCCTTTATGCAAAGCATTCGTGTGGCGTCTGCATCAGAGACGGAGCGCGGTAGACTCATATTGGGAACTATCCATCGGCTTCGAAAAGAGAGACGACAGACCTTGGCGCATTGTTATAAAGAAGACCGGAGAGAACTTATCATGGCCAAGGGCCTACGAGCTGATGCTTCTACCGACAACGTACTACAGCAGTCCGGCGCAAATTTTAAACGAAATAAGTTTTCAAGTTGATCAAATTGGTCCCTCTCCTACCCAACTTGCTTTGCCTGTTCTACCCAGTAGCACCGGCGACCGACGATGCATGGCGCAGGCTTCCGCGTGGTTTAAAGAGTGTTCGGAAAACCACAAGCGCTGCAATCAGCGTTTCGATATCCAGACGGTAGAAACGCTACCATCACGCTTGCTCGCGGTTAGTCCGCTAAAAGTGAAGATCGTTACCACGGCACACAGATCGAACTCAAATGTCCCAGTATATATGACGGTTAGCCACAAGTGGCGGAGTCAAATGCCGAAGCTGCTGCGATGTAATGTCAAGAAGTTAGAGCGGGGTGTAAACATATCCGAGCTGCCGCAGCTATTTCAGGACGCCTTTAATTTGGCTAGGGCGTTACAAATACCTTGTGTCTGGATTGATGCTCTTTGCATCATACAAGATGACGAGACTGATAAGGCATCCGAAATATCCAAAATGGATCACATTTATCAGAATGCCGTCCTCAACATTGGCGCGACTGGGGCCGCCGATGCTGCACGGCCACCAGCAGACCGCGACTTGGTGCCTGACAGTATGGTCAAGGGCAAGGGCGAAAGCGAGATGCGCGATCATAGCAATATCGCTCGCAGCACCGATGTTCCAAATAAGTCTCTTTTAAGAGATGAAGGCAGAACAAATGCGGAGAGGTGTGACTTACCGGGCTTCGTTACTGAGCATGTACAACCACACGGACAGCGCCAAGGCTTATTCGCAGACCGAGACCCCCTAGTTTATTCTCCACTTGCTGTTACAGTCAAGACAAGAGGGAAAGAGTACAATTGTATCGTTTATGATAGCTCTCACGTGGAGGACTTCGAAGACAGTGCTCTCTTCAAGCGTGGATGGGTGTTACAGGAACGACTCCTTAGTCCTAGATCGCTTTTCTTTGGCCGACAGATGGTCTGGGAATGTTCCGAACTAGTTGCATGCGAAACATTTCCATTCGGATTTCCACTGAGTCTTATGGAATACAATGTTCGCTTGGGAAAGATCCTTGTCGAGTGCAGCGAGGGTTCCAGGCCATCTGCGCAATACACAGCTTGGCGAGAAATTGTCAAAGCATTTACTAGGTGTCAGCTCACGTACGAGTTGGATTGTTTCCCTGCCCTATCAGGTCTTGCACACAATTTCCAGGCTTCCCTTCAGGATGAGTACTATGCTGGGCTATGGAAGGATGACTTTGTACCAGGCTTATGCTGGTTCCACGCCAACCAAGAGTTCGGCAGATCGCGATATCCCCCGTTCCCTAGCGACTACCGAGGTAAGTTTACTGTCCATAATCCTGCTTCTGTGCCACCTCTAATATAATTAGCACCATCGTGGTCCTGGGCCTCCGTAAAGTTTCCCATTAGTTTCATCGATAACAACGAGCTTATGGGCGATGTAAACGCTGAGTATACAGCTATTGGGCGGCTTGAAGAAATTGACGTTACACCGTCTGGCTCTGACCCTTTTGGCTGCATCTCATCCGCTCGTCTCCGGATCTCCGGCCATCTCCGCAAAGCAATCCGACAGGCATCAGAACGCAAAATTAGACCCTATTCATACACCGATCAAAGTGCACAGTACGAGTGGTTTGACACCGGCCATGAAGGGCAGAATTTCGATATTCGAGACATGAGCACTGCTTACTTCCTTCTGCTTGCGCATCGAGAATGGGCGTGGATGCTAGACATTAGCAACAAGTCTGTCCAGATTGAAAAGCTCACAGGCATCATTGTCGAACCCGTTGACGATGACAGAACAACGTGGCGCAGGATCGGGCTGTTCGATCATCCTCGTGGTGACGGGTGGATAGGGCATGACTCCAGTCCAGGCTATCCCGAATTTGACGACTGGGACCCAGAAAACTATGAGAGGCATACAATCACGATCGTCTAGACAGGTTGCATTTACGTATCAATCGAAAGAAGAGTATCGCGAATATGAACACTTTTGCCATTTCACAATGCAAACATGCTAAACTACATCGATATTAACCCGCCTTTTCCCCAAACGCCCATACCATGCTCAAGAAACACATGCACTCATAGTAACGTACAAGCAAAAGAGACCCGCAGCGCCTAATCGCTACTCCGCCTATGCTTCTTACTCTTCTTCTCCTTCTTCTCCTTCTTCTTCGGCGACTCTTGAACGACCTCTTCCTCCTCCTCAACAGCATCTACATCCTGCATCTCCACGTCATCCATCTGAACATCGCCATCGACGTCCTCATCTTCCTCTTCTTCTTCCTCGTCCTCAGACTCAGAGTCTGAATCGCGCTTCTCGCGGATACCGTTGGAGATGGCTTCATTGACCTCCTCCGCGACGTTCTTGAGCGGATCCCTGATCTTGACCGGTGCAAGCACGTCGAACGCGCCCGTACCGATACCACCCAGTCTACCGACGACAATACGTGCGCTGGGGTTCTTGAGCTCGTCCCAATCGCGTTCCATGACGGCGTCCTTGAGGAAACCGACGGTGGTTTCGAAACTCATCTTCATGAAGGGACTGACATTGCCCTTCATGCCGATACGGTTGAAGGGTGTGAAGCCACCGCCCTTGGTCATGGTGTCGGCGATGAGGTTGAGATGGCGTTGGTCGACGGAGATACCGTGACCGGAGAAGACGCCGTGCATTTCTTTGACGATGGTCGCGCGGGCGGCTTCCACACCGTAGAGGTGCAGCATGGCGACGATGTCGTTGGTCATGGTGCGGTTCACGTCGATGATGTGGGCGTACTCGCGCATGGCGATGAGGTTGGAACCTTCGGTGTTGATGACACCGTCTGCTTCTGAGTATTGAGCGGCAGTGATACCGGGGATGACGTGGATGGTGGCGAAGTTGGCAGCATCTTCTACGTGGTGCAGCATGAGCAGCTTGGGAGTCGATGCCTCGAACTCAAACGTGATCTCGCAGAAAGCTCCCTTGCGGTCGTCGAAGGTGAAGTCGTGGATGTGTTCGTTGTTGTGGCAGACGCGGTCGTGGCGGATGTCCGAGGATTCGTCAGTGGGTACAAGTGTACCCTCGTCCTCGTCGTCAGAATTGAGTTCCGGGGTAGCTGCGCGCGAGGGCTTGGGGCTGCCACCGTAGGTCTCGTCCTCGTCGTTGATCTCGTCTTCCCGATCAAGGTTGTCGTTGACTGCCTGTTCCTCCTCTTCTGGCTCTTCGTAAGCCACGCTGTCTTCACGTCGGCCTCGGTCCTTGGCGTGAGTGGTGTCGTTGTCACCCTCGCCGTCGTCACTGTCATCATCCTCTGCACCGCCTTCCCGTCCCGCGCGGAAGGTCTCCTCTGACTCGTCGACTGTTTGCTCTCCGCTTCTACCAGTCTTCTCGCCGATAGTTGGGATGGCAGCCGACTTCGCCGTTGACAAGGATTTGTTCGCAGCCTTCTTCTTGAGGTCGGCCTTGACGATCTTCTGGAGACGCGGGCAGAACTTCTGCTCGATGGACTCGGCAACGTCGCGAACCTTGATAGCGTACTCCTTGGTGTACTCCTTCGCCGGGTAGAAGTCCAGACGGATCTTGTAGCTCCTGGCCTGATTATGTTCGCGACCGGGACCAGTGGTCTCAGTCACAGTGACCTTGTCGAGCACAGCCGAGAGTGGCAGACGACTGATACTCTTGGCGAATTTGTCGTTGTCTGATTTGGAAAGCTCGGGATGGGGATATAGTTGCATCGACGGGGTAGAAATGTTCGCACTAGCAGTCATGACGATTTCTCGTAGACGTGGGATACCGAGTGTGACGTTCTTCGCAGAGTGACCAGCCAAATGGAAAGTGTTCAGCGTCATCTGTGTTGAGGGTTCACCAATAGATTGGCCAGCAACGACACCGACAGCCTCGCCAGGCTCGACCAGGGACCGCAGGTACTTGAGGTCAAGCATTTGCTCAAATGTACGCTTGAGGATCTCGCCCTCCTCGTCCTTCTTCTTGTTCTTGAGCAGCTTGTCGGGGTTTTGATCACAGTACTATGATTGTTAGCATCTAACAGTCAATTAGGACGAAGTCACTTACGTCGCGCTTAGCCTGCAAGAACAGTTCTGAAGTACTACCACTATGCCTCGATGGCGTGTAAACTGCAGTAACAGGGTCCATTGCAGCCACATCACCCTTCCTAGCCTTCTTCGCCGCCTTCTTGTTGTGCTCAACTGCTTCAGCACTTGAAACCTTCGGGTAGGCTTCAGCAGTGTGGAGGGATTGCGCTAGCGAGTAGAAGTTCTCCGCCTGGAACTTGAAGTCGTTGAGGTACTTCTGCTTGGTTGTGTCGAGACCATCTTCACCGTACAGGAATTGGACCATGGTACCATCTGAGTCGCGGACAGAGGTGTCGTATTCGACCTTGAGACCTTCCATACCCTTGATGATACATCTTTGCAGATAACCGGAGCGCGAAGTCTTGACAGCAGTATCGATGAGACCCTCTCTACCAGCCATCATATGGAAGTAGTACTCTTGCGGTCGGATACCAGTCAAGAAACGGTTGACGATGTAACCACCAGCGCGTACGCTCGTCTCGAAGGGCTTGAAACACGGCAGTGTCTTACCAGAAATCATGACTGGAACTCTTCGGCCTTCCAGAACTTGTTGACCAAGGTTACATGAAATTTGGTTAGCGTTGACCATACTACCCTTAGCGCCAGAGCCTGTCATGGCTTGCATTTGGTTCTTGGGGAATGGCTTGATGAGCTTATCAGGTAAGCAGGCTGAGGTGACCGCAGAGGAAATCTTGCCGTTGGCAGTGTTGGTGAGCAGATCCAGACCGTGCTGCTTGGTGTCGTCTCGTAGCACGGATTCAAGTCGTCGCCGTAGTTCCGGGTTCATGGGGTCAATCTTCTCCGCATCCATGGTGACGTACTTGGAGGCGACCTCGAACCCGACCTTCTCCGCTTTACGGAGCTCTTCCAGCCTGGCACGATCTCCCTCCTCCGTGAGAATCAGATCCTGGACACCGCAAGAGAAGGCGCGCATGTGAAGCATCTTGGTAAGCAGCCGTCCGATGATACTGAGGGCTCGACCAGCAATCGTCTCTCCGTAAGCCTCGTAGATGCCGTTGATGAGACCACCCGCGGCAGGTCCGATTTGACCCTTGTCCATGATACCGGAAAGCAGTTGGCCATCTTTGACAATGACGAACTGCTCCTCGACGTGAACACCCCAGAGTTTGCCATTTGTGGACGATTTAGATGTGAGCGTCAGTTCCTGGTATTCTGCGGGCTTGATGTTCTTCAAGACAGTAGTGATGATTTGCTTTCCCGTCCACATCGGCCTAGGCTTCATGATAGCAGGGTTAACTGTTTCAAGTCTACCTGAGGTGGTATGACCGTCTTCCGGTCGCAGGCAAGAGTAGAGTAGTTGATGGTACTCCTCTCTTGTGAAGAATGTGTCCTTGTTCGAAAGCCAGACTCCCATGGAGATGTGATCTTGAATCAAACCACGCAGAGGCTTTCCAGCAGTCGCAGATAGATATTGATGATCGGTATCCGCTACCGTCATAGCCTCCGCTCGGGCAAGCTCGTTCTGGGGGAAATGCATGTTCATCTCGTCACCGTCAAAATCGGCATTGTACGTGTTACAGTTGGCGTAGTGCATGCGAATGGTCTTCTCTCCCGGTAATACGCGGGCGCGATGTGCCATCATTGACGGCTTGTGCAGTGTCGGCTGTCGGTTCATGATAACAACATCGCCGTTGTTCAGATGACGATGCACCTTCTTATTCCGAGCTCCATTGGAGTATGAATTTGTGGGTGCAAGCAGTTGGTTGGCCAAAGCTAGTCGCTCTTCGTAGTTCTTCTTCTTCAGTGACACTACTTGTCCAAACTCGTTCTCGATGGCATGCGCTCCTGGCCACTTGTCGGGACCGTTCAGGACAGCTTCCTTGAGATCGTAGAAGTTGTGGTTCGTGACAGGCTCTGGGTATGTAAGTTTCATGGCGAACACTGGAGGGACACCAATCTCGTTGGTCTCGATGTTCGGGTCAGGCGAAATGACACTGCGCGCGGCGAAGTTGACACGCTTGCCCATCATGTTCTTTCGGAAGAGACCCTCCTTCTTTTCCAGACCCTGCTTGATACCATCCGCGTTCGTGACTGCAGCGCGGCCTTGTACGGGGTTTGCATCGCGATCGATGAGGGCGTTGACGGCACCCTGGAGGTTGACAAACTGGGTCTGCATGTCGTCGAAGTTACGTTTCCGGTATCCGAGCTCGTTCTCCATGCCTTGCATCTCCTGGCTAATCTGGCGTATTGTGTCGCATGCTTCGAGAATGCTCTTGTAGAGCTTGTTCCTGGCGGATTCGGCAATAGAGTCGCCCGTCTTATCTTCCGGTCTGTACTTGTTGGGTGGTACGACGATGGCCTGCGTGAAGAACATGTCGGGGTTTACGTCCACGAGAGACTTGGTTCCGTGAGGGCTGTACAAAAGTCGCATCATCTCAGTCTCGCTCTCGAAGAGTAGAGTCATGGCTGCCTTGACCTCTGTCGCGTTAATATACTCTTGCGCACTCTCTGAAACAGCGGATGATGACTTCGCTTTCCGTGCCATGCGGGATTCTGTGGCGAGGAGCGACCCGTCGGCCTGCTGTATGTCCTCCGTTTCGATGCCCTCGTCCTCGCTCGAGTTGGGATCCAGGTCCGCGACTCCCTCATCCGCGTGTACATGTTGCTTTTTCGCCTTCGCATCTCTGCGAGCCAGGATGTCCAGAGGGTTTTGGAAGGACATCTCTTTTGCAGCCATCTTGGCCTTGTCCTTTTCGCTCAGAGGCTTCCGGAAAATCTTGATGCCACGGTCCTTTCGGAACGTCGGACTGATGCCCGTGCAACTGCCGCAGGCCTTCCGCTTGGTGAGATCGGCATAGAAGTCCTTGATGACCTGTCGCCGCGCATCGGAGATGGTCTCGTTCTTGTCGCGGATAGCGCGGGCATCGTGCTTTGTGATGCCTGCCCTCTTCATGCAGCGCTTTACGTAGTTGTTGCGCTGGGTGATGATGTCGGCATTGTCGTCATCATCGTCATCCTCCGAATTACCGGCGTCTTCTGTCGTCTTGCCCTTCTCCATGCTGATGTGCTCGTGCATTTCGTTTGCTTCCTTTACTAGTCCACATCTTATCAACCGCAGCTTGGAGACGAATTCGCTGACTTGGACGCGGGGGAGCTTGAGCTGGTGGCAATATGCGCACTTGCCCCGGAGCAGTCGCAGCAGCTGGTCCATGAATGTGAGGTGGTATACGGGTACGGGGAGCTCGATATGGCCGCAGTGGCCGGGGCAGCCTTGGAAGCTGGTGAGACCGCATGTTCCGCATCTTGAAGTTTGTTAGCGGAATGAATGAGCTTGTAGAAACGCGATGAAGCTCACGCATTGTCCAGGAAAGCGCCCAAGGCAGCATCGTGCAGACCGCCAGGTACCGGGTGCAGCAGCGTATCGAAAGTGGTCGGGTTCGTGATGCGCTTCACCGAGAGCGACTTGATGTCGTTTGTCGTCAAGAAGCCAAACTCGACGCCATTAATGGCCGAGGAAGTCGGCTGGTGGGTGTTCATGGCGGCGCCAGCTTGTCTTTTGCGCCTATTGTCTGAAGAAGTCGCGCGCAAAGGCGTTTAGTGAATGTTCGCAGCAGCGCGAGCCTTGCGGGGAGTTTTTTTCGGGACCAGAAGAGTTCGGCCAGGGTTTAGCCGGCAGTGCCAAGGCGCTTGTCGAGGCGGCAGCGCGGATTTCGCGTCACTCTGCAGCGACTGGCTTTCATCATCCACCACACCCCACCCGCCAGTTTTGGGACACACTCGCCGCCTACTTTCTACGCGCATCACATGTAGTGAACTGCGTTGATTTTCTACAGCGCTCTAGCAACGACGTTGCGCGAATTCAACCAAACTTCACCCCCGAGCCTCCGCATACGCCAATCACACGGCCGACACTCCTTTATCCACAACATCCACCATGACCATGGCAGAGAAACGCCCGTACCCCGACGGCCAGGGCCCAAATGGAGATGCTAAGCGCGCAAAGGCTTCCGATGCAATCGAAGCCGCGAGGGCGAAAGCCAAGGCAAAGGCCGCTGAGATCGCAGCCCGTTTTGCGAAGCAGCCCGCCGCTGCAGCTCCTGCACCGGCGTCGGCTGGCGCTAGCGAATCAGTCCAGGACAAGCTGGCTGCCATGAAGGCACGGATGGAAGCGCTCAAGGCCGGCTCAGGAATCGCGAAAGCGCCAACACCAGACTCCACCGGCCCTCGCTTTGCGACAACACTCGGCAACCGCCGCTCAGAGACACCCAAAGTCGACCCCAAGGCCAAGCCCGCTGCCTCGAAGCAGAAGCAACAACAAGAGGAGGAGCTGGAGAACCCATACTTCGACCCCAAGGCTGCCGCTCTTGCCAAGAAGAGAGGCCCTCGCGTCCTGGCCTTCAACGAGCATGGAAAGTACCTCGACCAGGCCTCCAAGCTGCGCGCGCAACGTCGCCTAGAAGAGATCAAGAAGACTCTCGCCATCCAAGCACGTCGCGCTGGTCTGGACGAGAATAGCGAGCGCGGATTCCTGGTTCAGGCACCTCCGGACATCGAATGGTGGGACGAGGGTATTCTGGCCGAGCCTACCTACGAATGCTTGGGCGACCCGACCAAAGTCAAGGTTGAGACCGACGATTCCATCATCACTCTCTACGTCCAACATCCTCCCCTCCTGAAAGCGCCCCAGGATCAGCGTCTAGTCCAGGTGAAGCCCATGTATCTTACCACCAAGGAGACACAGAAGTTACGCAGAATGCGCCGTGCAGCCGACCTCAAGGAGCACCAGGCTAAGATTCGTCTCGGTCTGGAGCCGCCTCCGCCACCCAAGGTCAAGCGCGGAAACATGATGCGTGTCATGGGTGAGCAAGCTATCGCAGATCCTACTGCTGTAGAGATGCTCGTCGAGGGACAGATTCAACAGCGTCACGACGATCACATCACTGCAAACGAAGACCGGAAGTTGACCAAGGAAGAGCGAGCGGCCAAGCTTGCAGCTAATCAGGAGAAAGACGCGCAGAAGGGTCTGTACATGTGCGTCTTCAAGATCAACACACTCGCCTACGGAAAACATCGTTTCCAGATCGACAACAACGCGAAAGAACATGCGCTCACCGGCATCACACTATTTAACCCTGATCTCAACTTGGTAGTTGTCGAAGGCGGCGCATATGCAATCAACAAGTACAAGAAGCTCATGCTCCATCGCATCAAGTGGCATGAGAATGGACCACCAACAGAGAACCAGGCCGAGAAGCAAGCAGCGGACCCAAAGTGGCTGAGGCCAGTTACTGATACCGGAGACGTCAAGGACCATTCATCCAACAAGTGCATTCTCATCTTCGAGGGTGAGATCAAGGAACGCTCCTTCCGCAAGTGGGGTTCAAGAGTCTGCGAAACCGCTGGCGAGGCTCGTGAGACACTTGGAAGGGCCAAGCTTGACAGTCTGTGGGCGCTCGCCAAGAGCATGGAGTGAGCGCGTCTTTCATCGCGACTTGACTATCTAGGATTACACTGCATCTTGGCGACCTGGGCCGACATCATTTCGGACACATACCATTCAGGGCGCTCACTTGGAAAAGCGAATTTGGGAGGTCTTCTCTTCATGCTCAATGTAAGTTTACTCATAACTCCATAGTTTGGAATCTACGTATTAATGCACCCTCTCTTGTTCCAGCCGCGCAATCGTGATGTTGCATATAGTCTGCATCTGCCCATGCCATACTAGCCGAGCTTCTACAGAGCCTCCTGGCGATGCTCTTTCTACCGAGCCTCTAGAAACCTACATGGGTATAGTAAGTGTAATAGCATGCGACCTACATGTGATGTATTCGGCAGAAGTCGAGATAGATATGAGCGTAGGTGTTTTCCTAGTACTCCGTCTTCTTCAAATCACATTACGGGCGTGTCTTTTGTTCTCTCCACTTCAGTTCTATGCAGCAACGTGCCTCTTGGAAATTTTTGAGAGCTAGATACCATAGTCGTATGCTCCAGGCCCTAATTTCAGCTACCTCGATGAGTGGCATAACGATCGTAGTTGCAACGATAGGCTGGGGTGCATATGCGCAAATAGTCAAACCATGGTACCATCGACCAAATAGCTCTCTTTCCTCCATATATAGGAGTCTGAGGATTGCGATTTCTCTTATTTGATGAGGATTACCTTTGCGTATGTGTTGGTTATGTATTTCGGGAGTCATGCGTGCCTAGTCTCGCTCTGCGTCATCGCAGTACCATGGATGGGATGGAAGAACCGAACTTTGGCCTCCATATATAAGCCGACAGTCGATGCCTCGATCCTTTACATCCACACAAACACCTCCTGCAACTATCGTAGCTATGGCACGCAACACTGGCCTCCGTCATAAATGGACTTCCGCCTGCAAAAGACTTCCGCAAATCTTCAGCGACTCGCCAAATCTGCACATCATGTTACTCCTCGGGTCGCCATCCATACTATTGTTTGCTGCTTCAGAATTTCTCAAGCATAATTACCCAGAAACCTATGCTGTCTGCCACTGGGATAAGCCGGGCGAGATGCGGACCCCGTCGCTCGGCTGCCCATACAACAGAGACGTTTTCGAAACGCCCACACACCGCGGCTGGCTAGCCTTCTACGCCCTTGTCGTCATCACGCTTCTACATGGTCTCGTCGCTCATCGCAACAAGCCGTGGCGTCTGCTGCAAGTCACATTTTGGCTTCACGTCCTCACCACGGCCATCATCCGCTGTCTGTCTACATTCTCCGGCTGGACAACACAACCCGACTGGGCGAGCTTGATCTGGAACTCCAACGCACCGGGCAAGTTCATCTGGTTATGGCTACTAGTCGAGATGGGGTGTTGGAGTTGGACATATCTCGGCTTTTACGACGACTACTATTTCCGCGAGGCCACGCGCACCGTCCACGACCGAAGTGGCCACCCTGTATGGACTTTCACCGTCGACGAGACTGACGCGTTCACCTCTCCCTACAACCTCATCTTCCGGCCGTGGCGCGACATAGCTGTTCGACTGTCATACGTCCACCTCATTGACAACGCTATCCACGTCATTTAGTTCCAGTACTTTCACATCGACGCTCCATACACCGCTTACGTCAACAACTCGGAGATGTTGACTATTCTCCTCTTCGTCGTTCTGGCTGTATACACGTACACGCGCATGCGTACACACGTATACTTTGACACCAACACCACAGAACCTCTCGTCGACACCGAGAGCATCGTCCCATTTCCCATACACTCAGTCTCGCGCGACCTTTGCACGTTTGCATCACCGCACAACCTCTTCCGCACGGCGTCGCGGAACCGTCAGTTCCTCCTGATCTACTGGTGCCTCATGTTTATGTTGGACCTTGCGGCGCATGATTTGCTTTCGCTTTACTGGGCCGAAATCTGCGGGTCGCTTCTCATGTATGGTCCATGTGTTCTTATAGTAAGGCAGATCACCGACTCGTGGAAAGAGTACAATAAGGCGTGGAAGAAGGGTGAAGAAGGTGATGGGCAGTGAAAGATTAGTGTGGCAGGTGTGTGGTCCGATTCCTGTTATGGGGAGGCAGAGTGGATACTCTCGAGAAGAGTGTTGGGAGATGTGGAAGAGTGATAAGGAGGCCGAGGTGCAGTGGGCCATTAGTGTAGCAGATGATCTGTCACTTGTGTATCAGCGTTAGGTCGGTATGGGTCACGAGGGTTTGGGGCGTAGTCAATTGAAAACAACACCGTTCATCAACACCGCTATCGCCTGTCTCAATGCTGTCGTTCTATGGTCTACGAGAGTTGTGAGGTTATCCATCATGTGAGAAGCCAGCAAGAATTACGCATACTCAGTCCTGAACAACAGTCGATTCACATACCCAACCTATTTACAAAAGAACAACACGTTCCCTAAATCCAGCCCACACACATACACAAAGAAAATAGCAGGTAGTCTAAATAGATTGGGGTAATTAACATCTTCGTACGTGCATCTACACTTCCACCTCTTCCTCCTTCTGCCCATTATTCAAAACAACATCCCTCTCCATCTACACACCCAGATAAGTCCCGCTGGTAATCTTCTTCACAGTGGCGACAGGCTTCCAGCCAATCGCCGGACTAGGCGGCGCATTCTCCTCTGCATCCGCGAACGGATCTGCTTCGCCATCGTCCTTCTTCGCGTTGAGAGGCGCACTCATGCTAACGCCTAGCCCGCTGCCTAGAGTCAATGACTGCTCGTCGCTGATCTCCCAGCGGGCCTCTGTGTTACCGGGTTTAGCTTGGCCGTCGGTGATGAAGCGGGCGCGGAGAGTTTGGGGAGCGGAGTCTTTGAAGAGGGTCACGTCGCCTAGGCGCCAGTAGATGAGGCCTTTGTCGCGCGAGAAGGTACCCGTGGGTTTCGATTGGCAGGATGTAGCTTTGGACCCGGGTTCAAGGCGGATTACGAGGAGAAGATTGCGGACGGTGATGCTGGTTGCGCCGCCGAGTTCGAATCGGGGGTTGAGGGAGTAGTTGAGGATGGCGGAGGTTTGTGTGGGTTCTGACTTCCATGCTGGAGACAGGATGAGTGGTGGGAGGGAGGCGATGTTGCTGTCTTCGATGTGAAGCTGGTAGTGGAAGGCTACCGATGTCTTCATAATCTTCGATAGGTCAACGGTGTAGTTGCCTGGGCTATCTGTTGACTGCTCGATGAAGGCAGGGTTGGGCGCTACTTTCTCGAGCACGGGGAAGTTCTCCAGACGTATGCTCTCGGTGCCCAATGGACCGGCAGAGACGTCGACGGGGTTGTACGCGAGCGCGACCTGCCCGATTACCATGGCCTTGGTAACGTTACCCTGCTCGAACCAGGCGCTGACGGTCTCCACTAGCGACGCATTGAGCCCTGGTTCATGCAGGTCCGGATGCCTGATCGTGGTGCTAGCGGAGCTGCTTAGCGACCGGCCCGATCGGATGGATTGCGTATCCGATGCTGGGTGGTCGTCTGACAGCAATGCGCGATGGGGAGGCTTGAAAGCTGGAGATGCAGGTTGGGGAGGAATGGCAGGGGCAGGGAATGTTGCTGAACCGGGGCCAGAAGCGAGACCAGAATCGCTCGTTGGGAGTGGAGGCACTTCGCCTATGCTTTGGAGCTCGGGTGCTGCGGGGTTTGGTACGAATATCGTGTTACGAACATCTCGGCGACCGCGCAACGTGCTTGACCGCTTCGGCTGGGCAGCTTGCTGTATGGGTGTTAGTATAGGATTGAAGACACCTCTGCTATTACTTACTGTGCGCAGCATGTTGACCAGGTTGGCGGTAGCCGCATCAGCATCTCCATCTTCCTCTTGAATGGGGGCATTCCTGATGTCGAGCTTAAACTGGGGTGGTGCGTTGCCGTCATTTTGTGCCCTGTTAATGTTTAGCTGAGTAGACTGTCGTGTGTATGGTCATCTTACAAGCCTGCTTCTCTCTCGGCTTCGGTGATGGCATCAAGAGCTGATGGAGGCACAGAGAAACCCTCGGCATCTTTTTCAGGTTCTGGCTGCGTCTCCGTAACTGGTGGTGGCGGTAGTGGCTCTTTGAGCTCTGGTATGGACTCTTGGACTGGTGCAGTGCCATTGACGGCGGCTGGTGCATCTGTCTCCACGGTCGATTCGGGTGTGGGGCCATTAGGCGCAATATCAGTGCTGGCCTGGCGGGTAATGCTTTGGGAATCGGATCTTTGAGAAGTACTGGGTCTCTGCGATTGTCGCAGAGGTGATACCGGGCGTTCCGCAGTAGGAGGCAGCGATGGGCCCTGGTTATCACCCTTTTTCGATTTGCCCTTGCCAAATCCACTAAATGCCGAGCCAAGGTTTGAAGAAGATTGTCGGTCTGGTGATTGCGCTCGGCCGTACGGATGCGCACTCTGTCTCCTCCTCCCCAATACCGTGCCGAATCGCTTGAGAGGGTTGGAGCTGTGTTTCTCCGGCACAGAGCCACTCTTCTGGCTCCGGTTGTCATCAACTGCGGTAGGGGATGTTGGTCCAGAAGCTGGAGGTGCTAGGGTGCGCGAAGGAGTTGGTGGGTTGCTTGGTTTCCGCGAAGGCTGGGGTGCATCTCCGCTCCGCATTCGCAACGCCCAGGTTTGTATTTCATCGGCGGTTTCAATGTTCAACATGGCATTCAGAGTCTCTTCGGCGGTAGTTCTACTCCGCTCTACCTGGTCTACCTCATGCGTTTGGAATTGTGTGAGCACATCGCGCAGGTGGTTCAGGCGGGTCTCGTCAATGGCCTGGAGCTGCTCGAAGACGTAGGGTGCCTGCGAGTCCCATTGCAGCTCCGCCTTCTCGATATCCTGTACGGCGTCGGCAACGGCGGAAGCTTTGGCCTTCGATCCCTTATCACGAAGCTTGCTTTGCTTCTTCTGCGCCGTGTCGATGTCTTTTGCGATTGCCGAGAGGTTCCCCTGGATGTTGCCGAAGCCCTGCACGTCCCGGTTGTTGGCAGAGAAGTCGCGAAGGGGTCGTTCGACGTCGGCCTCGATGCGGGAGGCCAGATGCGCATGCGATGCGGCGATGGATTCGGTTGCGCTCACGATCTTCTGCCAGGGCGTCGCGAAGATGCTGGCCGTGTTAGCTGGTGCGCTATGAGACGAATGGGGCGGGTGCATACCCCAGGTCCGAGGACTCATCGGGAGGATGTCTGTTTGCGAGCTTGCGCAGGCCGGTGACGTATTGTTCTTCGACGCGACGGCGTTCCTGCGCATTGGTGAGCACGTGTGGATGGCAATGCGCGGCAGCTGGGCCTGACGCACCTGCAGCCAGTCGGCAATGTGGGTGTTGAGCTGGCCGACATGTCTCATGCGGGTGTCGAGGACCGTCACGGCCTGGGCGGGCGACAGCGATGTCTATACATGGTGTGAGCCGAAGAAGTTGGGAGGCATCATCGAGGCACTCTCACCAGCAATGCCGGGTATTCTTTGCGTTGGAGCTCCATGGCGAGGAATGCGGGGGACGGGCGCACAGCCACAGAGAAGCGATTCGGGCTATTTACATGGAGAGGCAGCTCGGCGGGCTGGTCGGGAGTCGTGGAGCTGTCACAACTGCGCTGGCTGTCATGGCTTGGGGCTCGTCGCTTTCGGCCTAGTCCACCGCGGTTGCGTCCGGGAGTCTGACGTAACCTGGGAAACGACTAAACCTCGAGATGCCTCCCCTGACCCAGTCGGGGCGTTGGTGAAGATTCTGAGACGCGCCAGAACGTGTCGAGTGATTGCATAATATTGACCTCTGTGACCATGGCCATGCTGCCTTTGGGCACCGACCGCGTGGGCTTGGGCAGTGGCGGACGCTGAGTCGGGGCGACTGGTCTCCTTCTCTTGCCTGGCGACACCGCTACATGTCTCCTACCTCGACTTCTGCGTCTGAGTAATCGCGCCACATGGCTTCCTCGGACTGGCGAGCGAGCTTGGGCTTCACTGCCCGCCTGATGGCTGTCACAAAAATGCAGGTAACATGTTTATACCGTCACGCTAGGGAACCTGGTACATTATAGTCCGGAACAGGGCCCGACCATGTGAATGGCATACTTGCTTGATCGCGATCTTCGATGGGAAAAGACGATTTGGCCCAATCAGCACGCGTGGAACATGGAAATTCAAAACTAACATTATTGCAGGACATCAGCCTTCCAGGCAGCGGACCCTTCATTGTCGGCAGACGATGCTCGCAAAAAGGCCACTGTAGCTGAGACGACAATCTACGCCGACGCCCACTCTCTGGTACATATCAATATGGTGCTTTATGATTCCATTTTAACCATGTCGCAGGACGACTACGACAGATTGTGCAATGACAAGATAACAAATCTGCCCAGACCGTCACTCGACTTTCCAACACCAGAGGTCAGTACTTGCCATACCAGAAAAACATAAATCAACTAATTCGTATCCTAGGACGAAGACTATGTCCCAACACCCGGCGGCAAACCTGTTGGCAAGTACCAGAATGCATTGTACCATCGCGAAGGTCTCTTCTCCGTCATCTACAAAGCGCCTGCAGTTGGGAATGAAAGCTACTTTCCCACCAAGTCACCCACCAAGACCAATGTCGTGGCTTTGAAGAT